GGGAGGGGCTCCAAAGGGGTGCGGTCTTGGGGGGGCTTCCGGGGTGGGAGGCTCCGGGGGAGAGGGAGGCGCCCGGGGTTGGATTCCCGCTGGGCTCTCGGGGGAGGAGGGGGGCGCCGGGACCCCCCCGCTCTGTGCCGCGGATGGGGACCCGCTCGGCTCGTGTGACCCCGCTCTGCCCCGCAGGCATCCAGAAGGAAGAGCGTCCTCGTAGGGCAGCACACGTGAGAGCTGCGGGTAGCGGGGGGGGCACAGCTCCGTTCTGCTTCAACCCCCCCCTCCGTCGCTGCGTCCCAACATCCCCGGGATTCCCGTTGACCGATGGCGGCCGCCGGGGAGCCGCCCTCCGACGAGCCGCCCGCGTGGTTCCTGGAGCTGCAGGAGCTGCAGGAGCTGCTGATGGCAGCGGAGCCCCTCGAGCCCCCCGCCCCCGGGGGGGCGCAGCAGGTGAGCAGCGCGGGGCCCGCCGGGAACGGGGCGAGCGGACGGACGGAGCCCCGTCACCACTTCCCCCGTGCGTCCCCGCAGGAAGAAGAACCGGCCCCGCTCTGGGCTGCGGGGGACCCGGCGCGCCGCGAGCCGGACGAGACGCTGAGCGCCGAGCTGCTGCAGCTCCTGGGAGCGGACGGCGCGATCGGCGCGGCTCCCGAGCCCCCCCCACCCCCCCGGAAACCCCCCCGGAGAGGCGGAAGGGCGGCCCGTGGGGCGCGGGGCGAAACGGAAGCGCGCGGTGGGGGAGCAGCAGAGCGAGCAGCGGCTGCGGCAGCTGAGCGCCCACAACGAGCGGCTCCGGGCTGAGGTCGGGCGGCTGAGCGCCGAGGTGCAGCGCATGCGGGCGGCCCTCATCGAGCGCGTCCTCAGCCTGCGCCGCGCTTAGGGGGCGGATGGGGCGGCCCGGCCCTTGGGGGGCAGCGCCACGGCACGGACCGAGGGCTTCAGCACCGCTGTACGGCATCTGTGTTTTATTACACGCGTGGCACGGCGCCGTCCCGCTCTGTTATTTCTTCCCCGCGTTCTGAGCCAGCGCCAGCTCCCGTTTCAGTGCCAGCAGTTTGCCCACCTCGCCGTCGATGCGCGCTCTGTCCGCCCCGCTCGCCTTCAGCTGCCGCACGCAGTCGCCCTGGGCAAGAGAGGGGTGAGTGGGGAGGGGGGTGTTTTGGGGGGCGGTGGGGCTGCTTGTCGCCCCCCCCGCGCTCACCTGCTGGGCCACCTGCTCCGTCAGCTCCTGGATGCGGCTGGGGTCGGTGGGAGCCGCGCCTGGCGCTGAGGGGGGGTCTGACTGCTGGGGGGGTTTTGCCTGAGGAATGGGAGAGAGAAAGAGAAAGATGGGGCTGCGTCCCGTGCTGCATGATGAGGATGGAGCCGTGGTGGATGAGCAGTGCTGGGGGAACCCGGGGCTGGAGGGGGAGAA